TCCCGGAAAGTACTATGACCTCTAGAATGTCTTAATTAGCTCCGCAGTATTAGCTAGAAACGTTATCCTCTAATCATATTCAAGAATATGCATTCTATTAAAGCAAAGTCGATAGCGATATTGTTATCGCGATCTTTCATGCACATGTTATCAAGAAAATATCTTTTTTCGTTATTAAGCTGCAATTGTGAAAGATTCTCTTCTTCCTTACTGATTGCCTTCGTGATATAACTGGAAGCACGTCCGGCTGACAATCGGGAGTTCTGAAGTTCAAACCCCGGATAGAACATCGCTAATTTTTCATGTTTTTTGCTTCGAAATGAGTGACGCCGAACTCTGCAAGTGACGCCCGAACTAAAATATGGTAGACGACAATTTGGTACCACCTGGATTTGGCGAATGGGTTCTTCTCCTCTCCAGTCGTCCCTTAAGTAGGAAAGAATGTAAAGAATTGTCTCTCTCCTTACCGCCTGCTTTCGTGATGCAACTGGAAGCACATCTGGCTAGCAGTTGGAGGGACGGAAGTTCGAATCCCGAAGAGGGTATTCGCTGATTTTTCATGTTGCCTGCTTCGAAATCTAATAGACTCTATACGATGAGTTAAAAAGAGAAATTAAAAAATAAAATAGTATTTTAAGGAAAAATTTATCATTCATTTTTTTTTTTTTTTTTTTTTTTTTTTTTTTTTTTTTGCAATATTGAAATGTTACATAATATAAAACAGATCACTCCAATTAAAAATATTGCATCCGGTCTCTGTATTTAGAGTCTATTAACAACTGAAATAATTTTAAGCTGAAAAATACGATACATTTATTAATGATCCTTAATATTTAAAACACAGAGCATGAAGTTATGTATTTAAAACGATTTTTTTTGAAATAGTAATGGCAAAGATCAGAGGCACGTAGAGGGTTTTTTTTTTTTTTTTTTTTTTTTTTTTGTTAAAAAAAGCTTAAAGTGGTAGGCAGCTGTGTATTTTTTCATTGCATCGCTTGTCTTGCAACATACATTTCCGGTAAAAAAAAGTGATAACAATTTTTATTTTGCCAAGACATGAAACTCGCATAGTGAAAACAATAACATCTTCAAAGTGTGAATTGTTGTACAGGTAAGGGAAAGAAAAGTTTGGGATACTCGGATTCCGTTCCCCCAAGCTGCTGAAATGTAAAAAAAGAATTTTTCTGAGGTAATAACCTTTCTCTTTGCCTTGTTTATACAAATCAAATCGTGCATGTGTTTGTATACGCTCATGGTCGCTCTCACTGTGATAATGTATTGCTGTCGTACAAGATTAAAAACAATGTTATATTTGCTACATGTGAAGTTAGTATGCTATTTGAAAACAGTATGAAATCACCTCATGGAAACCGTAGCTCAAAGAACATACAATCCGTAAATAATCTTGCTACAATCTAGAAATATCAAGAGGCTGTTAATAAGTATATAATTTTTAAATGGTTTTTGTCCCATGTGAATTGTCAGCACACTGTTTATTAACAGTTCTACGAAAAACATATTTGCGTCTGAGTAGCTGCAATGGTCTCATTTCTGGTTTTTAGTGACAGTTGCGATTATGAGTAAAACACTCGTGAGTAGTCCGAGCAGATGTGTATAATATATAGGGCAGAGGAATACTTTGAACGGTTTATTTATGCTTTTATATCTTGCTTTATTTAATTGAAATTTGAAGAAAGAAGACACAAATAAAAAGGGTTTGAACTGTAATAGGGTAAACAACGAAACATTGCTAACTCAATCAGCAAAAATCGCACACTCTATTGAGTCACTTTGCATGTGCGCTTTTCTATCTGACGCCTCTATTGCATGTGGTTTATGCTTTTAACAAGGATCACGCTTCTCACGTTTGGACAGTAAAAAGGATTCTAATGGCAAAACTGTTTTCTGCTATTACACATATTTTACCTCTGAAGGCATATTAAATAAAACAAAATTCCTCGCATTTTATATAAAAATTAATTCATGTCAAATTCTATTGCAGTCAAAAGACATTCCTTGTAATGTTCTTGTGTTGCGCATTTTCTTGTGATCATTGTTCCATGGTTAATTTCATAATGTAAATCATGTTCTATAAGCGCATTACTTTACAAATGTATGCACAGTTAAATAGGTCAAATCATTAACAAAAATTAAATAAATAAATAAAAATAAAAATAAATAAATAATAATAATAATAATAAAAAAAAAATAACGTGTTACTACTAGAAATACGAAGCAATTGAAAATTCTGAAGTGGAGTACTAACGAGAAAAAGGCACCTGTGAAACGTATTTAGGTCAGTTCTTTCTAGTACTGTTTGCAGGTTTTGAGCCGCCGGTAGGTAAGTATGAATCATAAAAGCAGGACACTGATAAATAGATATATAACTTTTCCTCCTGAGGAAATGGAATTGTAATTATATGTCAAAAGAAATGTCTCTTGAGAAAAGACACCATTATATTCGTCCTGAATCAGCCCCTGAGGTAACCCCTAAGGCAGTGAATTTTTGTACGGTAACCGAAATTTTCTATTAATAGTATGTTTGTTTTATTTTATTTCGTTCTTCTTCTTAAGGTTTCTAACTAGATAAAACTTTTGATGCATTTATTACTACGTGTAACTGATGTTAGCGAACAAAAAATGAATGCTGTTTTAGGAATAAACATTTTTTTTTGAAAATTATGCAAAATGTTTTTAAAATAAAATAATAATTCTGAAAGGACGCACCCAAAAATCACTCGTCACTCGGTCTTAGCATTTATTGTCAGACGCTACCATTACTGCGCATGCGCATAAATTATGCAATAGTGAGCAAAATATGACATTCAGGTAGATTTGCAATGCCAACGTCTGTTGAATACAATCAGTTGGTATCAAGATAAGTAAACATTTGAGAGCTCCAGCTATACCAAAGAAATAGTTTTTAAGAAGGTAATTCATTTAACAACTGAAGTAAGTTGAGCCCAAGAACCAGAATTTTAGATCTTAGTTTTTCTATTTCTTTTATATCACACTCGTTACTTTTTTCTAGATACCAAAAATACAGTAAGCGTGAGTGAGTAATGAGTGTAATTTTATGCTCTAAAAAAAAAAAAAAAAAAAAAAAAAAAAAAAAAATAGAGAGACCAGTAGAAATTCATTTTCGCCACCATGTTTCAAGAGGAGAAATAAGAATTTCACTTAGGGCAGTGCTAAACGATTTAGAGTTTTATTATTTTTATATATGGCATTAAGACAGACTACTGCAATGAAACACTAAAATCTATTGAACGAAAATTGCTGAAAGTTACTGATATCAAGACTTTAAAGTCAGCCGGAACTGACCTGCTTCCGTACGTCTCAACTTTCGCATGAAATTGGAATATTAAACGGAGCCTCCAAAAAGATGAACTTGGCTATTTTAACTTATTATTTAACCATTAGTTAATAATTTAACTTTTTTTTATTAATTTTTACTCTTTTTATGTTTCATTATTGATTATTTATCATTTTATTTATTTATTTTTGTTCACCTTTATTGACAGTCTTTCTTAAAGCTCCGGCATTTTTAAGTTAAGACCTGCTAACATCAAATTAGTGTAATTCCATACTTTCACTCAGACAGATTTCATATACATATTTTTTTTAAAGTTGGGAATGCTTTTCAAATTTTATATTATGGTTTCCAATTCGATAACTTAGTCATTATTATTTTTTTGTTATTAATATCTCTGTAATTTATAAAGTATGAGTGTTAGATAAAGAATTACAAATTTTCAATCTAATCAAAACAGATAGCTTAAAATTTTATTACTAAACTTTCAAAAACAATTGAACTGCGGTGCTTAACCACCAGGGTGCCTGGGCGCCATAGCCCTACCCCTCATCGAATAACATGATAAAAGTTTCGAATTATAAGAAATATAACTGAATGTGCTAAAAAAAAAAAAAAAAAATTATACAGAATTTGGTCCGAATAATTACGCACTCAGATAGACAGACAAAGTAGCCAGATGTCTTGTTTTGCACCCATTAAATCTTTCTGCACCGATGGGCGAAAAATCAAGCTTAGGTTCGAAGGAAAGGTATAAATTGGCAGGATGATTCCCTCTGTAGTTACAGCACACTGGAGTACTTTTATGACACACAAAAAAAGCGTCTGTACGTAAAAGTAACACATCTGACGATTTAGTCACCTTCAAAAAAATTAAAGTTAATTTTTAAAGGAATTTTATATAATATGTCTTAAAATTTATTTTTCAGTTGTAATTAGTAAAAGTTAAATAAATATAAATTATTAAAATCCGAAGTTTTCTGTATTGATATATTAATATATAAGATCTCAATAACTTATTTATGTTTAAAAAATCGATGAATAATTTGAGAATCACATGGAAAACAAAAGTGTCTTGAAAAAATTTTAATTTTGGGGTGGGGTGTCACCATGACAACTACCAATAAATTTCTTTTTTCATGATTAATGAATCACATTCTATGAAAACGATAACTGCAATTACTTTTTATTATAAAGCTAGCTACAATGGAGTAAACAAAATATGATAATACTTAAGGGATAGCTATCCTATTAGGCATCTACATCTTAAAAATATTCTCATTGTAACAAACTTGAAATTATACTTATGCCTGATTCTCATAAGATACTTTCCTCATTTATATAATGAACCTTTATATTGCTACATTAACACAATTTCGAGTATTTTTTATGCATTTCATATTTAAGTACGCTCATCCAAGAACAATAAACTACACATTTTCATATAAGTATACGGGACAAATTCTGAGTTGCCATTCCTTCCAAGTTAATTTTATACAATTTATTTAGCTAATTCTGCATGTTATACGTTATCTTGATGAAAGACGAAGCGAAATCTGTCTTTCTGGAAGAACTAATATAAAACTGCATTCTGATCTTGGATAAAAATTTGGTTCTTTTTAATATAGAGCAAAGCCGAAAAACTGCAAGTCAAATTTTTGCGCGTAAAGAACGGAGCCCCGAAAACTTCCCCCTCACCCCTACCGCTGACGAAAAGGATATTTATTTGGCAAAGTATTTATTTGTCTTCAAATTATTATTCAGTTTCTTCTGCCCGTTACTGACCTACCGAATAATAGTAATGTTAACGTAAAAGGTGCTGTAATAGTATGTAGAGTACATCACCAAATACAAATGCCTTTGTTCTCAACGTAAGATTTTTAATACGAACGCAATGATAGGGAGTAGAACGTTTTAGCGATTGTGTTAAGCCTAAAGACGTACTGAATGGGCTCTATTGATCTGTTGCGTGTTTCACTATATATTTCAGTTATTGCTGATTGAATTTTTGCTGTGGATCACAACATTGTATCAAGATACTATGATATTGAACCTTTGTGTAAGGTAACACGTGTCCTTCGAGTTCTGTTCTGCCACGGAATTTTATAATGAGAGGCGACCTTGGGTGGTCAGATAGACGACTGTTTAAAATGGCTTTTTATTTTTATGCATGGAATACAAATTGGTACATAATGGTACATAGCATATTGAAGGTAAGTTTAAAATTTCTGACCGTTCCTAAGAGTTATTATTTATATGTCATGCGCGTCAGTTGCACCAGTCTATATTACAATTATCTTCCTTAACGTATAAAGAATTACATACAGTATGCGATTAGGCTTATGACGCGCGCCAATACTTTTATGAGCATGACGAATATATTTACTGATAATTTTAAATAAAATTTCTTATTATCAGTTTTATGTTTTGGAATTTTTGGTCAAAAAGAAGTAAATTTTTAGGGTTATAAACATCTCGGGTTATATGAAGTTCACGTTTACTGAACGATTGTTTTCTCGTTCAGAATTGTTTATAAAGAAAAGGAGAAATCCACATGTTTTTGTAGAATCACATTGAAGTGTTATCAACTTAAATTTGGAAAATTTTGTCTATATTTTTAATATAAATAGCCAGTTCGCTTGTTTTAGGGAAGCAGGAAGTAAGTTTAGTGGGTGGTGGCTGATTTAAATAAACTGAATTCATCCATATTTCCTGATGCAGTTAAATAGAAATATTGTCATAAACAAAGTCTTCGAGTTATTAAATAAAAAAAGTATTAATACAGTAATGTATTTCCTAATTTTTCATGTATTTAAATGATAATCAATTTCATCTATTTCCTGTTAGTGAGAGGTTGTATTGCCTCAAATCAGTTTAACTGAAGCAAATTTTAATTAGTGTTTAAAATTTAAGATTGAATACCATTTTAATTAAATAACATAAGTTTAACTATTGTAATGTGTTTATGGCAGGGAAGTCGTAAATGACCTAATTTTTACCCCATTACATAAGTATACTTCAGCTGTTGAATTTTACTGAGGTACTTTAACAAATTTTAAAAGCAGAAGTATAAAGTAGTTTTGTGGGAATTAATAATAAGCATTAAAATTAATTTGTAAAATAGAATCTATTAAAAATTAAGTTTTGCATAATATCCATATTATGAAGAATTATACTTAGTACTGAGTCTAGGTCACATCATCTCAGAAAACAGTCTCATTTCATAAGTATTTTGAAAGGGTATTTGTGGTAATAAAACTTTAAAAATTTGGAATGTATAAATTAGTTCCAGATGATTTATAGCAAGTAGGATTACATTTAAGGTAGCACAGAATTATAGCCTAATATTAGAATACAGTAATATACTAAATAATGATAGAGAAATTTAATGTGCTAGTCATAACATGTCAATATTTTATTCACTTATGGCATATGTGAGCAAAGGCATTAAAAATCAAAGAACTAGGGCATTTTATTCAAAAAGTCACTAATTTTTTAGTAATTGTTCATGTAAAATTAATGGCTGTAAAATAAACTTTTTTCATGACATTTAATAAATTGTTTGAAGCTCCATAAGAAAGAGTAAAAAAAAAAAAAAAAAAAAAAAAAAAAGAATTAATTTAAGGTTTTAGATTTTCAGAAATATTGCCATTAAGTTTTGAGCTTGTTCTTATTACTGATAAAACGTTTGAAGATTTGTTTTATGTTAGAAAATATTTTCAAAATACCATTTAGATCTATTGTGAAGCATCATATTTGCAAATTTTTATCTTTCAAAACCGGTAAAAGTGAAAGATTGCAAGAAGTTATGGTTTGGTTCATAGCAGAAGCATTTCAATGTGAACATTGGGAAAATGAATTTGATGCATAAGAAAATCATATGTATATGGCAGTAAATACAAAAACTGCATCTACTGTAAAATTTTGTTATCTTAATGTTTTATAAGAATTTTCAAAAAGGCGAGAGGAAAAAAATTGATTTTAAAATTTAAACTATCAAAACTATAAGAAAATAGTCATTTTTTGCTTTAGTTGGGTTAATGGTTGTTTTAAAATTTATGACGTATATGTAATTTTGCATTGTCTTTTTTTCAACAGTAACCCTAATTCAATAAACAGCTATATTGCAGTTTTTCCTTTTCTTTCATAAGGTTATTGTCAATTGGCATTTTTTACAGTGCTAACAGATCTTTCCATTTCAAAATAACTGGTGATGGGATGCGCATTTGTTTGCTTATCTGAAAAAATTTTTTGGTGATGTCTGAAGCGTTGAATCGTAATTATTTTATATTGTATTCTTTCTAAGCTATTGAAAGAATATTAGTTTTGTGATCTTTATTGGAACTATTAAATACTAAACTTTTGGTAATATTTCATTTCACAATTATTTATAATCTGAAAAATAAAAAGAGAAGACTGATTATATTAATGTATCGGATGGCAAAAAGCATGAAATAGATTTGAGCTGTATATGTTTAGATTATATTGCAGATAATAATTTGGAAGCAGAAACACAAATATGTAGAAATTTTAAGATTGTATCTCTGGAGCTGCCTTTAAGGTAATACTAGGATACATCGAACACTATATTAAACCTGTTAAGGATTTATTAACGTATTATATTAAGCATATTATATTAAAATGTTAACATATTTATTAAAATAGTGATTTTTATTTTTTAAATTTTTTATTTATTTATTGTATTCTTGATGTACAATTTTTAATATTTTCATACTTGCTATAAAATAAAAACTTATTATTTTTAATGCTTTAACAAAAGTTAAAAAGTAGTTTTTTAAGTATTAAATATTAAATTTCATCTGTTAGTGACTGATATTTAAAAAAATATAATTTGCATTTGCAAATTTAGTAATTTGTTGGATCTTTTATGGGTTGATTTGAAAAACACTTAGGCCATTTTGATCATAGTTCATGAGAAACAAGGGTTATTTTATCGTTATTAAAATTTTTTGATTGGCAGCAGCTTTAAGTCAGGAATTTGAGTAACCTTTCATACTTGCACCAAAAAAAAAATTTGTTTAATAAAATGTTCATTAGTGTTTAATTGCATTTTTATTCGTTATAGGCTAGTAGTTGTATTTTTAATCCTGTAATATTACCTTCAGTGCTGTAGTCGTGAAAGGAGATTCTTTGTTGCAGTATAGCATTCTTCTGTAGAATTCAACTTTATGTGTTTATGAAGATTGTTAATGTAGCTTCCTAGTATAGACTGCCTTCAGTTTAATTATAATTACAACTGATATGTTCTTAGTGGTGTGATGCATTTGATGTATCATACGTAATTTTCACTCCTGTATATTAAAGACTGTTTATTTCATTGCATATAGCATTTTCATGATTTTATTATGTAACACTGTTTATTATGCTAATTATCTTTGATTGTGACATCTAAAGTTAATTTATGAAGGCATTTTTCTGTGATTTTAATTTCCTTTTTAAAAAATTTGTGTAACTTTATTATTATTATATTATTATTATTATTATTATTATTATGTTTTTGTATTTTGGTATTTTAAGTATAGGTGAATCTTATATACTTCTAATATCTTTCTATAAATTACAGTAATATTTTCTCTTTGCTCGTAATTAATTCTAGTCATTTGGCTCAGGCAACATTTTTATGATTTGTGAATAATCTTAATTTTTTGTGATTACTAGGAAGTCAAGATTTGAATCAAGGTGTACTGTTTAGTTGTCTCTGTTAATTTGAGCATTTGTTATAAATTAGATTTTCATCTTGGAGTCTATGGACTTTTTCCATGCCTAGAATAATTCAGTCACTATGCAAAATTTCTACTTAAATGTTTTTGAAATGAAATTTTGAATGAGCTGTTTCATTTTGCATACATGCTGGCATTTTATTTAGATGATTATGATTTTCTGGTTTTTCATATTATTTTGTTGCATTACTATTTGATTATTTGGTTTGTTGGTAAGCCATACTGCTTAGGTCACACCAATTTCTGCATCATTTAAAATATCTCATTAAAACTATTGTTTTTGTATTTTAGTCATTTAGATTAGATTAAAGAATCTCGAATTAATTTAATTCATTTTTTAACCTTGCTTTTTTCAGCTCTGTATTTCAAACTAAACTAAACTGTTTTGTCAGAATTAACAGTTCATAAAGAATAAGTAGTAACACGCCATTTAAAATTTTAATATCTTCAAAACTTCCTAGTTTAATATATTGTATATGAATTGTAATATAATATTCAGTTTGTTCAGAATGTTTTAAATGTAATATTTTAACATTAATTAGACAACATTTAAATTTTAGATTGATGTTGATTGTAGAAAAAGGCTATGTGTTCTGAAAAACTATAATATGAATCTCTTCTTTAAGGAGTAAATGTATTTCACTGATTTCAGGGAGAACACATTTTTCTAGGGAAGATCCCTGTCAGATTTTGTCGGTGCGATCAACCATTTTTTAAAAATCATTGCTATTGAATGGGTAAATTTTGTTTAATTTAATATTGGTATACCATAGCTGCCAATTTTACCCTTCATCACATCTCCCAGTCCTTTTAGTAGATCGCTGAATCTCCCAGTTATTTTTAGAATTTGCTAATGAATATATTTCCTGATAATAAATAAAATTTATTGAATTAATTGATCTAAAATTGTGTAAACTCCATTCTTCAATCCTGTGATATTCAGCAAAATTTTTGGTACTAAATTTGATTTGTCTTAAACTACTATAGATATCTGTAGAACTTTTTATGAAGATTCCACCAGTGTTTAAATCAATTAAGTATATTTAATTTCTTTGTTACAACAGTAAATGGTATACTACTAAGTTTATCCATATAATGGTATGTATATTAAGAATTAATTTTATTTTCTCCATATTTAAAAATTCTTTGATAAGTAAGTTTTTTTTTCTTCTCAGAATTAGCTTGGTTTAAAAGTGTAAAAAAATTAACAAAATGAAGTTAGCCATGGAACATAAAATTGAGAGTAAGTAATTAAATATTTATATTCAAAATAAACTGATTATATATTTAAATCAGAATCATATTATAAATTTCTCAGTAATCTGAATACCATTATAGAGTATATTTAAGTCATTTTGGAGTTTTTTGATATGATGCTCAGAAACTCCCAGTTATTCACACGAGAATCTCTTGGGTTTTCATATTTCAAGGTTGGCAGCTGTTGTATGCTTTTTGCACATATTTTATTCTGAAATTGCTGTATTAACTTCTAATTTTAATTGACATTATCAAAATTTTTTATTTATTTATAGTTTAATAAAAAATGGAAATCTCTTTTGTTTTGTTGAATATTATGTCATCTTATGGCTTCAACTATGTTATGAAATGATTTGATCACTTCATTCTGTAGAGCTCTAAAAATTTTCTATATTTTCCTGCTAAATAATGGTTGTAGACCATATTAATAGTATGTATTTATGTAGTTACTATGTGTTTCACATCTTTAATTTAGTAACGAGACCTCATTCGGCTGATTTTGATCTCCAGGCATGAGTTTTCATGATGAATTTAGTTTTTCTTTAAGCCACCCCTGTAAAAGATGAGTGATGATTTTTATTAGTTTTTCTTTTAAGTGGTTTCGTTAATTGTAAAATGTAATAAAAATGTTCTAAATGAATATTCTAGTGTTTAGCTATGGATTTAGCTCAAAAGTTCTCAAATGTTTTAACTTCTGTTGTTCAAGTAAGTATAATTGAATAAATACTTGTTTTAACTAACAGGAAGCAATAAAAGTAGAATATTTATTCCTGCTATTTTCTAGAGTACAAACTAAATTGCAAAAAATTATCCATCACTGCTTTTGGGAATTAAAAGGAGAGAAATTAGGAACTAAATCCTTTTTGTGCAAACCAGCAAAGAGCAACTGAAAGTCCTAACAAGAAAATAAGATCACTAACTTAACATTTAAAAGACCTGGGTATAAGTGTGCTGTGTTCACTAACTCTGTTTATTCTAGTTTTCATTTGTGCAGGTGCAGAACCTTAGTTATCCTGTATTCAGTTTAAGGTGAAATGATGAAAACAATTGAATAGAAATAATTTAAACAGAACAGATTAGGAAATAAAATTTTGTTCACATGATTTTGTATTTAAGATTTTTTCTACTGATCTGTTTTATAATTTCACTATTGATCCTGCAAAACAGTGTATAAAATATCTTAACGCAAAATTATCTAAAGTTCTATCAGTTAAAATATTGTTAATGATTCTTTATACTAAAAATGTTTTTCCTCTCATTTCAGGCAATCAAAATAATTTCTTAAGCATCTGCTGCATTATAATGGATCTAGATTCAGAAAACTGCTCTGTATGCTAGTAATTGTGACTTCGTTATTGTTTATTTGAAGAAAAAAAATGTTAAAAGAGAAGTTTTTCTTTAAAAACTTGTGAAATGGAAAGATATGGAGATGTTATGACAGAATTTAAAAGCTGTGAATCGGAAAACTATTCACATAGCCGAACTTTTGGTAAAAAAGGAAATTCCAAAATGTGTAAAGATGATATGTCTAAACCATTGTTTTGTAGTGTAAGTGATTGTGTGACTGAGGAAGTGATTATGGAAGTGAGGCCTGATGTCCCAAAAAAATGTATTGAATTTGATTGTAACAGCCAGTCTGCAGAAAATGGTTATACAAGTAATGCTGAGAATTTTTTATCTGCTATTAAAAGCAAAGCAGAAGAGGTAATAAATGACTGTATTTTACCTTGGGAAAAGTCTAATAATTTTTCCCCAAATAAGAAAGATACTGCACAGAAATTAATTACGCATGATACCTTTGTCAATGGAAGTAAAATATTAAAATCTAATGTAGCTGGAGTTGAATCTGATTCTATAAATTCTAAATTTTCTGATATTAGTCAGAATATTAGCTCTGATAGTTTAGTCCCTGATTATGAAGCTGATATAAGCTCATCTAGTGTTGAAATATTAGCCCCTCTAACAAGTACTCCTGTAGCAAATAAAAGAAACTTTGTTAATCATATATATAATACAGAAGCTAAATTTGATGAAAATATTATAATAAAATCTGAAAAACTGGATTCTGATCATGAAGAAACTGGTTTGCAGAAACCTTATCATTCAGAGAATTTTAATAAAGGAACACCATCCTGTAAAAATAGTGTAGAGTCAAATTCAAATGTAGATTGGAATATGCCTGAGCTAATCCCTACTATTTGTCTGGATAATGATGATTCTGTTCCAGAAACAGAAGATAAAAACTGTAAAGTAATTGATGTAGCTGACTCGCCTGAAATGCCAACTCTTGTTCCATTTGAAGCAGAAGAATCCTTTCAAATAAAAGTAGAGTGTCCTGATATTGAAGAAAAATATGGGTCTAAAGATGCTGATTCTCATGATTCTGCTACTGATATTCGTCAACCTCAAATTGTATTACAAAGAATTTCAGTAGATCGTTGTCCTATTCCATGTTTTGAGCCAAGGAGAAGTTCTATCAGTGAACAGTTAAACGTAGCTGAAACTAAGAAAATGTCCATTGAAGGCCCTGAAATTGAAGAAATCGAAGGTGTTCGATTTTTCCAGTTTCGTTCAAAGCAGGAAATGGAGGAATTTAATCGAATGCCAGAAGCAGCAGAAATTGATCTTGACATGATTGTACCAACAAAAACTACTGATATAACTCAGATTAAGGGTTGGCGTAATAAATATTTTGCACCTGAAACTCAATTTCAGTCATTTACTAACTGTAATAGTATAAAAACTGATGATTCTAGCCAAGATTCTAGCAATTTAATTTTGACTTTGAATGAGCAAAATAAGGAAGAAAAAGCATTTAAGTTGAATGAGGAACAAAAAAATTCTAATGAATTTCGTATACAACATTCAGAAAATGATTTGAAAGTAACTTCTGAGGCTAAATTAAATGACGATGCTGTAAAGGCTATACCAGTTTCATCAAAAGAGGAAAATTCTGATATAAAATGCCTCACTGACAAGAATAATGAAAAATTTTCACTTAAAAAGAATGATGAAAAATGTTCACTTAAAAAGATGGATGAAAAATATTCACCTGAAAAGAACCCTATGTCTGCTTTTGTGAGTGCAGAGTTAGATTCATATTTGCTTAATTCTTCTGTATTGAATGTTAGTTTACTTCAGAAGGTGAACCCTAATATTATTCCTATTCCACCTGATGCATCCATTTTATCACTTGGAAAACTGAGAAAAACTGATAGAGTTATACAGCCAAAGAAAAATCATGTTTTTAAAGATAGAGAAGATAATTTAAATTCAGGTGATTGTGTTATAACTTTAGGTGATTCACCAGCACCTATAATAACAATAGGATCATCAGATGAGGATTCTACTGATGATGATATACCTGTTGCCAAATTGTCAGGGATGAAAAGAATCAGATCAAGTGATGTGAAACCTGTATCAAATAAATGTGTAAAAAAGAAAAAAATTGGTGATATTGAGTCCTGTCGCGTATCGCCAAGAGTTGTTTTGCGGTTGAAGAAAGAAAACATTGGTAGTTCAGAGGGTTATAAGGTGTCAAATATTTCATGCAAAAAGCTGAGGGTAGAGCAGTCACGTACAACATCATCATCGTCGTCATCTTCATCTTCAGAGAGTGAAGAAGAAATGCCAGAATCATTTAAAATGTCACATGATGGATCCTTACCAGTTATAAAGAAAACATTGTTTTTGAAAGATGATGAACCTCACCTCTTGGAAGAATTTTTGAATAATCTGAATATGTATGGTACAAGAAAAGATGTTGCCATGTTAGTGCAGTCAAACCAGTCATACTTTGATAAAGGTCCTGCATTGTCTGCTAACCGTACTTATAAAGCTGTAGCTGCTCTTGTATCGAATGAGCTATTTGCAAAATTAAAATTTAAGCAGAAAGTCAAGAAAAAGGTGAAATCATGGGAAAAGTATCTTCCTAAAATTTCAATGTCCAGCAAAGTACAAAAAACTACTATGTCCAGATTGAAAAGCAAGCTAAAGTCTTCTCAGGTTGTTGATAATGCATTGCCACCTGAACGAGGTAAACGCTCCATCAGACTTCCTGCTCGTTATTTAGATTCAGCCGTTCTTGCTGCTGGCACGGAATGGGTGTCACCAGTTCTTGTACCAGAAGGAAATGTCACGAAGAAAAGTCGAAAGATATCATCTGAAACAGTGGAGGAAAAAAGCATTCCAGAAAATACAAAGGATTCTGTATCATGCACTGAAAAAAGTACATCTGAAGAAGAAGAAAGTTCGTCTGATGAAGCAGTTGATACATCTGATGATTTATCTGATGCTACAGTGGAACATATTAAAGAAGAATGCTTGAAGAAATTTGAGCAGAAATCTGAGTCTTCTGAAATGTCAAATATGAAAAATCGTACTTTTGATAAAACTAAAGTTAATGAATCTGTTTCAAATACTGATGAAGATCAGAATCTGCTATCAGATACTGTAAATCCCTTTCCTATATGTTCCTGTTTACCCTGTTCGAGAACAGTTGTATATCAAAAAAGTAAAAAAGACTTCATATGCTCATGTAAAATTACTAAAGATAAAATGATTTCTTTAGATGAAAGCAGTAAGGAGAACAACACGAGTACGTTGACAAGTAATTCTTTGCAATCTGTATCAGAGTTACCAGATTCAAAAATCAGTGTTCAGGAAGAATTGCCCAATCTTAAACCTGTCAGTTCATCAGAAGAAACAAATAAGTGTTCTGATGCACCTGGATATATTAATGTGGCATCTGTAAAGAAATCAGGTGACACATTAAGTAATATACTTTCAAATAGTGTAACAGTTCAGTCAAAACCTTATGAATCTGTAAATCAAAATGCTTCTGTATCAAAATCTATGATATATGTCACTAATTTAGGATTAACAAATTCCTTAGGCACTATAAAACAGCCTTTTGCTGTTGCACCAAATGATTCTTTGGCCTCATTATCTACTGCAAATTCTGTGAGCTATGTTAATAACAACATGCCCTCATATCCAATTCATAAGATTTTCAATCCATTGGAAGAGAATTCTAGTGGTGCATTAGTCAGTGTTCCAGTTTCAAATATGTCAGATAAGCTTATATTTCTAGTTCCAGTCAAGGCTACTACAAATATTAGTAAAACTGGACAGAGCTCACATGTTCCTTTACTTCCTAAGATGCCTGCAGAGACATTTGAGAAGGCACCAGTTTCATCTACCAATGGCCCCAAAGGCAAATTGCCCATTCTTATTCGGAAAGTAACATCTGATAAAGTTCCTAATGCTTCTGCTGTAGAACTAGGAACTGGTTTAAATTTTTTAAATTGTAATCCAGTAAATTCTGGGAAAATGTCTTTTGTACCTACTCTTTCTCATCCCAATACTTCAAAAAATACACCAAGCTCTAGTCCTGTGACTTTCAAATTGCCAAAAACTGTTGAAAATACAGAAAGTAATTTTCTAATACAAAATGGATTACCTAAATTACCGACTTCGTTTTCTGCTGTATTAAATAGCACAATAACGACTGATAAAACTCCACATATTTTAAATAGCTGTAATACTTCAGTAACATTGCCCAGTCCTCTCCAACAAGTAAATCCTCAAGGACTGCAAGTTAAAGCATATAAAGTAGGTGACAAGTATTTTATATGTCCGTCTGTCATGCCAGCTAAAGAATTGAGGCCTAAATCTAGTACAGTTAATAATTCTACAATTATTGCTACTAATGCAGCCAATCAGAAAACTTTACCATCTGTTTCACCTCAGGTTTTACCCTTTAATAATATAAATAAAGAAAACTGTAAAAGCCAGTATCAAATTCTTCAAAATGGTTTAGCAAAACAGTGTATTATAGGTAACCAAGATTCAAATGAAAGTTGTTTGTCTTCATCTTGTGATCAACTGAAAGATGCCCAGACTGATGCAAGTATGCCTAAGACAAGTAGTTCAGAGTCATTGTCCAATTGTCCATTAGCAGCAACTGATTGTCATAACTATTATAAGACACAAAAATACTGTAAAAGAAAACTTCATCCTTGTAATGATGTGAAGGAAAATTTAGATATGGACATAGACATCGAAACTGTAGATGACAGTTTTGATGGCTTATCAGAATTGCGTAAAACTTCGGAAATTTTAAGTGAGTCTGACATTTCAGATAATGAATGTGAAAGCATGTACAGCTCAAACTTAGATCCATTTGCAATCAATTTGCAAGTGAAAAGTTTAAAAGAAAGAAAGCGCCGTTTGCAAATTCGATGTGCCTTTGAAAAACTAAAACACTCTTCAAAATCATTCAAGAATGCAAATACTTGCATGGAAATTTTGGCAGTGGTAAGATAACTGATTTATTAATATATATATATGCTTTGAAATGATATGCAAGATTATAATTTTTTCATATTTTGAGTATCGCAGAATTTCATTTTAATAAATTTAGACATGTTTAATGAGTAAGATGTATTTTATGGAAGTGCATTATGAAGTTCATATAATTTTAAAATTTATGAGTCTTTGCTGTTTATACAAGGCAGGAAGTTGCTTACTTAAAGGCTATTTGTTAATATTAATGTGATTATTCTGTTAAGGATTTTGTGAGTTTTAATGCAGGTTTAGCTTGACCATTTCACATGCTAATATCAATATGTATTGTTGAAGTGAAGTTCTTTACAATGATGTCTAAAGGGCAATTCCCACTGGGGTTTATCTAATGAACACAATTGACGTAGCTGACCCATCTCCAAAACCAGTTTTTTCCCATAGGGCAGCATGTTAAAAAATTTGAACTGCAGGCACAGCGAAGCTATCGACACATGGAACTGATTCCAATAGCTCAGATAAACCCCAGTGGGAACGGCCCTTTAAGCTTAGAACAGGGGTTATCATCGCGACTGGGGTCAGTATTGATCCCCTGAAGATACTGAAATTTTAAAAGGTATCGATGATGATTATAAGAGATCGATTAAGAGGTTGGGGATCGAGAGCCAAATAGGTACCAGAAGTTAATCAACATAATCAAAATCCCATTGTTTATAAAAAGTTTTAATACAATTAATAATTAATTTTTATTAATATAAAGCTGTGTCACGGTAAGGGAAGAAACCATACAAAATCAAGATAGGGCGATATGCTAATAATGATTTAATAGATTTTAAAAATATAATAATCTTTTGTACAGTAAGTGCAATATAAGAAAGTAAAATGCAGTAACACAAGAAAATGCAATTAGAAAGTACAAAGAAACAAAACTGGAATAAAAAACAAAACAAAACAAAAGAATATTTTTGAGGGGGGTGATTTAAGCAATTTTGGGTACTTCCTTATCATAGTGGCCCCCAAAATTTAATAGGTAAATCAACCAAGGTGTTACATGTAGCAAAGTACAGTACATAGTCTGAAAGCTGGACTCATCAGGACTTTGGCATTCTCTATTTGGGGTTTTTCCAGATATTAGATTATCATTTTAAATCTAGTAAGATTGCATATAGAAATTATAAAATTACAAATATGAAATTGTGATTTATGAAATAATTAAGCATTTATAATCTAAAGGATATCAAAATTTATAAAAGAAGCTTAATAATTATTTGTTTACTTTATTAAACATTTCTTTAAATGTAAATTGTTTAAGTTGCTTTGTTTTTTGTGCTAATACTTTCTCTTCAGTTCTATAGACAGACAATTTCTTGTTCAGTTACAAAGTTTCACTGTTCAAGGTCTGTAGTTGCTGTGTCAAGAATTCCGGCTAATTTGTCAATCAAAATTTTTTTCTTTTCAATAACTTCTCTGTCACTTTCTTCACTATTGGTAGCATTTTTTTAGCAACTACGGATTTTAATTGATTAATTAATTAATAATTAATTGATGATTGCAGCATTGTCATCGCAATGAAAAACTTCTGTTATATCATCTCTTACCGCTTCTCCACATTTCTTTAAAAGAAATCCATTGATTGGAAAATTTCACCTGTGGTTTGCAATATCTGAAAGCCTTCAAATTAGCAATTATCATCTTCATCATCCTCACCATGAAATATGGCCAGCTGGTCATAAATTATGCCAAGCACTTTTTAAAGTATCTGGATGCACATCCACCCACATTTTTGTGATGCTTCACACAGCAGATTTTATGCTAAAATTATTATTGAAGAAAATTAACATGAATATTAAAAATGCTACTTTATATTCACATTTCAGCGCACACACTATTCCAATATTCATATAGGCTGAATGATGGACGTACAGCTTGGAGAAAAGCATAACATGGATACATTATCTTTCATTAAAGCTTTAAGTGAAATATGAGCTGAATGGTTATCTACAATCAGGACAATTTTTGCATCATTAGGTAAACCAAATTAAAATTTTGCCAAGCCTGGGGTATGAAAATAACTTTCAAACCAGTCATACATTAATGCTTGTGTCATCCGTGCTGTTTTATTTGCATGATATATAGTGGGCAAATCTTTACTCCTTTAAGTGCTTGAGGTTGTGTATTTTTTCCGTTTATGAAATGTTTACAGTTGTGAATTCCTGCAGCATTTGTGCATGCTAAAATTGTTAGTCTATTTAGCTTTGGAATCTTTGACACCAGTTGGAGCCTTTTCTGTAGAGGTTACTAAGGTTTTTCGTGGTACATAATGACAGAAAAGACCAGTTTCATCAGCGTTGTAAATTTGTTCTGTATATGTTTCACTATTAACGAGCTCAATGAATTCATTTGGAAATAATTCAGCAGCTAAAGCTTTTTCACCCGAAATTATTAATTACATTATACCACGGCAATTTTAAAATTTGGTTAACCAATCTGTTGACTATGTGCATTCGGTTTCAAGTTCATTCCTTCAAGAAATATTTTGGCTTGAGCCATAAGCATTGGACTCGTCAGTGGCACACCCTTGCTGCGTCTCTGTCGGAAAATTCAACTATCACTTCAGCATAGCGAATAATTTTCTGTTTTTCACTGCGAGTAGGATATCAGAATCTGCAAAAATTCATAAAGTTCCTTTTTCTGTTATGTCGTACACAGTTGACTTTACAATGCTTTTCGGACGGGCATATTTATATCCATTTTTTTCAGCGATTCGGCTTTTAGTTTAATGTACTTTGAAACATGCTTTCGCTTTGTAGATCCTGTTGCAGCTCCAGAATTAGAAACTCTTCAAATTTTAGTTTTGATAAAATTGCTGTAATTAATTATAACAGCATGCGAAAAACAATAATCTGGATAAAATCAAAAAGTTGACAGCACGATCTGCTGTACTAACTGAAACTCTGTGGAATCAGTACAGTATAATTTTAGTTTAGTTTAACAGTGCCTGCTCTACGTTATTGGCTGTGTAGCATGAGATTGGCGACGAAAGACAAAATTTTCCATTACATTTTGTCTTGCTTCTATCGTGCACTGAAACAATTAAGCGTGAATTGTATTAATTTAGTTATTTGTTATACTTGTGTCTAATTTTTGTACATACTTTTGTCTTATTCGAGTCTTAAATAAATTTCCACATAGACTTAAGCTTACTGATAGCTGGTGCTAGATATTTTGCCTGTCTCTGTGGGTCCTAAATTCTGTTACCAAGTGCCTCTCTGAGTTCTAAATTTTTGCTGCCCCTTAATTTTGGGTCCCAATGCTTTCTGAAATTCTAAAAATTTTATCATCTCTTAATTTTGCTACTCACCGCTTCTTTATACTCCCCAAAATTTGTCTTCTCTAAATTCTGCCTCCCGGTGTGGCCATACGAGCTCTGGCGCCGGTCCTGGGTTTATGTGAATAAAAAAAATCAGTTATTCGTAATTCATATAGCATTAAATGTAATTTTTTGGCCTATGAGTATCATTAATAAAATCTATTTTTGCATATGGAAAGAAATTTTTGCTGATTTTTTCCTCATCAACATTTAGCGCATTTAACTGAAATCTGTAATTGCCTTTTATGCCAGCATAAAAGTTTTCCATAATCTTTGTTATTCAGTTACTAATAAAAAAAAAGTGTTTAGGCATCGCTGCATGAGTCATTATTAAAGTTGTCATGTGTTAATAAACATACCGTGATGAAAGCAAAATATAATAAATAATGATTCACCAAGTTGGGGATGTCAGGGATATAAAATATTAGTAGTTGTAAAATCAATGATGTTTCTATGTAGAATGTTTCGGTTTGAGATGTATACTAAGCAGATGCTGAGCTACAGAGCCAGATTATTGTTCACACAAATTTATGCTAAATTGATTGTTTCTTCAATAACAAGGTATTTTATTTAGTGCCAAAGTGAAATTAAGAATCTGCATTCTCCACATTTTTGTATACGGGAAAAAATCAAATGCACATGCTTAAAGCATAAAAAAAAGTTCTAAAAAAATGTTTGTTTGGTTGCTTTAAGATCCGGATTTTGATCATTCTGGATATTGGACATCCGAATCTTGGACTTTGTACTGTGTAAAAACACGGGGTGAGATTTTGGTGAGATAGCTTGGTTAATTAGCAATTCAATGTTGAGGACTGCTATAATAAGGAAGTACACAATTTTCTTTCAAATATATGTATATATATATAAAACATTGAAACATCAAGCTCTGCCACACATTAATTAAAATGCAATTAGAATCTTGATTTTGTTTCTGAAAATCTGTTTATATAAGCAAAATTATAATAATACAAAAAGTAATGAAACATAAATTTAACAAACACTTTTTAATTTATTTCTTTAAATTAATATCTGGTTTACTTGTATCATGGGTACATTTCCTTTATGCACCTGCCAGGCATTTTATCAGGTTTCTTTAATGTAAACAATTTACTAGTTATTAAAATAGTTTATAAATGGCAAAACACACAAGGCACAGATCATAGTAGATCGTCACCTGTCATACGGCTTGTCAGGTGCATAATAGTTGAGTACTCTATTGTGATTATACAGTCAAAAGTCGTTAATCCGGACTCTTCGGGACTTCGGCGATTCCGGATTATAGATCATCAGTTTAAATCTGGTAAAATGGCATGCAGAAATTATAAAATTAAAAATATGGAACCGTAATTTACGAAATAAAGAACGATTATGATCTAAAGGGTATCAAAATTTACAAAAAAAAAAAAGAGCTTAATATTTATTTGTTTACTTTATTAAACATTTCTTTGTTTAAGTTGCTTTGTTTTTTAATGTGATAATACATTCTCTTTAATTCTATAAACAGACATAATTTCTCATTCAGTTACAAAGTTCCGCTGTTCAAGTCCTATAATTGCTATGTCGAGAATACCGACTAATTTGCCAATCAAAATTTTTTCGTTTTCAATAACCTCTGTCACTTTTTTCGCTATCGGAAGCGAATTAT